GCCACCCCGCCAGCGGAGTGGGAGCATCCTGAGCAGCTCTGTAAGCTGTCTCCTGTCCCCGTCGAGAACTGGGTGTGATGGCACCTCATGAGACCCTCTCCCCACTCTGGTGTCTCCAGGCGGATCTGAACAGCACGATCCAGGACGGGCCAGGGACTTTCTACGGTGTCAGCAGCCAGTACAGCAGTGCAGAGAACATGACCATCACGGTCTCCACCAAGGTGTGCTCCTTTGGGAAGCAGGTCGTGGAGAAGGTGGAGGTGAGTTCCTGCATCCTACTGCATTGGGAAGGGGTGGCAGTCGGGTCCACCATAGGTCCTGGGATGGAGAAAGCCCCAGGGTTGGGTGTAGGACACATGGGCACATGCCTGTCCTGTGGTGGGTGGAGTGGAGAGAACATCTCCACCGTGTCCCAGTCGGCCACCACCCGCCCGTGGTGTTTCGGTGGGGCGGCTGCTGACTCTGCCGTAGACGGAGTACGCGCGGCTGGAGACCGGCCGGTTTGTCTACCGCATCCACCGCTCCCCCATGTGCGAGTACATGATCAACTTCATCCACAAACTCAAGCACCTCCCGGAGAAGTACATGATGAACAGCGTCCTGGAGAATTTCACCATCCTGCAGGTACCTCCCTTCCTTTTCCAGGGAGTGTTTCCCACCAGGAGCGCGGTGCCCACGTTGGCATCGACCCTACCATCCTGCCGTGCCTGAGCCCATGCAACCCCCCTTGAGAATTTTTGGTGGTGCAAATACACTGGCTGTGCCTGGGCCCGTGCAACCCCTCCTAAAAACTGGGTAGCAGATTTTTGATGGTGCAAATAAATAGGCTTTGCCTGAGCCCATGCAATGCCCCAAAAATTGAGAAGCAGATTTTTGGGAGTGCAAATAAAGTGACTGTGCCTGAACTCGTGCAACCTTGCAAATAACAAGCAGCAAATTTTTGGTGGTGCACATCAAGTGGCTGTGCCTGAGCCCATGTGATGCTCCCAAAACTGGGAAGCAGATTTTTGGTGGTGCAAATAAACTGGCTGTGCCTGAACCTGTGCAACCCCCCTAAAAACTGGGGAGCAGATATTTTGTGGTGCAAATAAAGTGACTGTGCCTGAGCCCGTGCAATTCCCAAACTGGGAAGCAGATTTTTGGTGGTGCAAATAAAGTGGCTGTGCCTGAGGGCATGGAACCCCCCAAATAACTAGCAAATTTTCAGTGGTGCAATTCGAGTGGCTGCGCCTGAGCCTGTGCAACCCCCCGAATAATGGCATCTCCCCGTGGGCACGGCCCCCTCCTAACGTGCTCTCCGCTCTGCCGCAGGTTGTTACGAACAGGGATACCCAGGAAACCTTGCTCTGCATAGCCTTCGTCTTCGAGGTCTCCACCAGCGAGCACGGCGCCCAGCACCACGTGTACAAGTTGGTCAAGGACTAGGGGCACTCGGGGACGGGCAGGGGCACTCGGGGCACGCAGGGGAGGGAGGGGACCGTGCAGAAAAGCCACCCGTGCCCGTTGCCTCATGAGAAGTCATTTGAAGAGAGGAGGAGGAGGAGGAGGAAGAAAAACAATAGCCAAAAAAGACTGACTTGCGATCGCAGATGTTTTCTACTTAGGAACAGTTTCTTTTTTTTTTTTTTTAAATA